CATTACCACCAACATCATCATCATCACCATCACAACCATCACCACCACCACCATCACCACCATCATTACCACCACCATCACCACCATCACCACCACAATCACCACCACCACCACCATCACCACCACAATCACCACCACCACCATCATTACCACCAGCATCACCATCATCACCATCACCACCATCATCACCACCAGCATCACCAGCATCACCACCACCACCATCACCACCATCATTACCACCAGCATCACCATCACCACCACCACCATCACCATCATCACCACCATCACCACCATCACCACCATCACCATCACCACCACCATTACCACCAGCATCACCATCATCATCACCCCTGAGTCCTTGCATGTGCTAGGCCCTGTGCTTAGTACTTAGCATGTAATATCTCATTTCATCTTTAAGATAAACCAGTGAAACCACTTTTATCCCCAATTTGCAGGAGAGGAAGGTGAGGCTCAGAGGTAGAAAGTAGCCAGTTTACACACAGCTGGGAATGGGACAGCCAGGTTGAGGCATGGGCCTACCCAGGTCTCCACCTAAGTCTACATCGTGACATTCCTTCATCCTTTGGGGCCATGTTTTACCACAACTTTTGAGTTTTTAGTAATTCATTTTTCTGAAGGAATACATAAATCTTCATGATAAGAAAAGTGAATGGTACAAAAGGGACAATATGAAAAGTAAAGGTCTCATTCTACCTGCAGGCACACACTTTCATGTCCACATACTTCCAAGATATAACCACTGTTAATAGTTTCATGGGAGAAAAGAAAAAAAGGAAAGGAAAGGAAAAGGAAAAGAAAGGAAAGGAAAGGAAAAGAAAATAGTTTCATGAGTATTTTTCTCTCTTTTTAAAAATTTTTTATTTAAATTTAATTTAGTTAACATATGTAGTATTAGTTTCAGGGATAGAATTTAGTAATTCGTCAGTTGCATATAACACCCAGTGTTCATTACATCAAGTGCCCTCCTTAATGCCCATCACCCAGTTACCTCATCCCCCACCCATCTCCACTCCAGCAACCCTCAGTTTGTTTCCTAAAGTTAAGAGTCTCTTATGGTTTGTCTCCCTCTCTGCTTTTGTCTTATTTTAGTTTCCCTCCCTTCTCCTATGTTCATCTGTTTTGTTTCTTAAATTCCACATATGAGTGAGATCATATGGTATTTGTCTTTTTCTGACTGACTTATTTCTTTTAGCATAATAGCTGAGTCCTAGCCTCAGCAATCAGACAACTAAAAGAAATAAAAGGCATCCAAATTGGCAAAGAAGAAGTCAAATTTTCACTCTTCACAGATGACATTATAGTCTATGTAGAAAACGCAACATACTCCACCCCAAAATTGCTAGAACTCATGAATATTTTTCTAGAAATATTCAAATATATTATAAACATAAAGGTGTAAAATTTTTTCACAGAAGTAGAATCAGGTTATACATAATTACGCAACTTGCATTTTCACTTAAAAAATACATCTTGGACGTCTTTTTATTTCATCAGTCAGTTAACTATCCCTAAAGGAAGCAGTCTTAGAGGTAGATTTGCAGGGTCAAATTTGATGTGCATTTTAAATTTGGCAATTTAAGTTTGCCAAATTTGAGAAAGTGTCTCAAATCCGCAATCCTGCCTAGAGCATGTTGAGGTGCCTGTTTGTCCACAAGTCCAAGAGTATTATCTGTCTTTTTAGGCTTTGTCCTTCTGATGGGTGTTTTTATTTGTATGTATTTAATTAGTAACGGAGATAATTATCTATTGGCTACTTGAAGTTTTCAGCGATTCATACCCTTTCCACACTTTCCTGTTGGGTATTTTTGTGCATCTGTAGATTAAGGTCAGTAGCTTTGTCTGTCATATGAGTTTCAGTCTAGTTTCCAAGATTGAGATCTGGCCTCTGCCATTTGTTTATAATTTCTGCTCATTTACGAATATGTTAGAAGTAGGAACTCGTATTAACTTTTTGTCTCCCTCAGTCCCAGCGTCCCGCCCCGTCCTCACCCTCAGGGCGCCCGGGGCCCAGGCCTTCCCTGGGGACGTGGTGGAGCTTCGCTGTGAGGCCCAGAGCGGCTCTCCCCCGATCCAGTACCGGTTTTATCACGAGGATGTCTCCCTGGGGAACAGCTTGGCCCCCTCTGGAGGAGGAGCGTCCTTCAACCTCTCTCTGACCCCAGAACATTCTGGAAACTATGCCTGTGAGGCTGATAATGGCCTGGGGGCCCAGCGCAGCGAGGCGGTTCCACTCTCCATCTCAGGTAAGTTTCCTGTGCCCAGGCCACCGATGTGGACAGATATCCCCTCCAAGGATATTCTGATAATCCTCACGATGTGCGAGCAGAGTACTTCTTCTCAAGGACAGGGACACGAAGCTGAGGGTTCTCTACGTGGTCCTCTTCTGAAGTGTGTCTGAAGGGATGGTACTAGAGTGGGAGCAGGGGGCCAAGGAGGACCACCGACTGTGATGCTCGCTGGTGGGCCCCGTCCCTTCCGGCCCCCCAGTCTGACCTCAGCCGCAGACATGAGCTTCCTCCCCAAGAGCAGAGCCATTTCCCGGGCTGCTGCCTAGGCCCCCAGTCCTGGTGCCTGGACTCTTCCTCCCTCCCAGGCCCAGCATCAGCTGCAGGGGTCAGAGCAGCTCAAGACCACGAGCCTCTCCCTCCAGCTCACGTGCGGGGTCTCCCCTCCAGGGCTGACAGGGAGCAGAAGCGGCTCTGTTGCCACCGGCGTGGCTGGGGGCCTGCTCAGCGTGGTGGGCCTCGCGGTCTTGGCACAGCTGCTGTATTACCGCCTCCCCAGGAGAGCAGGTGGGTACCTTCCGCTTGAGGCCCTGCCCTCCCCGCCGCCTCCCCTCAGGCTGCCTTTGTAAGCACCCCTGAGCTCTCAACAGCTCCCCACCTTCCCCGCCTGCTCCCCCAGAATTCGTCTTTACAAACACAGGGTTCCCAAAACAGCTCCAGTGCACCAAGATGCCTCGATGAGACAGAGTTTATCCAGGATCATAAACCTCAGTGTGTCTCCCTCTCCACCCTTATGAGCCCCCAGGGAAGGGGAGGAAGAGGAGAAAGACCGAGAAATAGGAATGGGAGCAGAAACCCAATGGGATCTGATGACCTCCTGATTGTTTAATATGCAGGATGTCCACCGCGGATCAGACCTGTTTCCCGTTGGCAGCTGTGGAGCATTGCTCTTGACAAAATCCTCTTTCATGGTGTGACTATGCCCCGCTGCCAGCCAGGGTCAGCAGTTTTCGCCCCCTCTGCCACCTCCCTTGGGCACAGCGGAGCCGGGTCCACCTAGTGCTGGCGGCCTGTGCAGCAGGTTCTCGTGAGCCTCCTAGCAGCTGTGCCCCTTGTGATGGCCTCCTTCCCCTGGCTCCAGTGACCCTCTGCTTTCCTTTGCAGGAGGAAGACCGACCTCCGACCCCTCCAGGTAAGACCCGGGCTGTGCTGCTTGTGGTTCATGAGATGCCCACAGGGGATAAAAATGAACCAGGTCTGGTCACTGCTGGGGACACAGATAGGTTGTGCACCTTCGTGTTGCTGTTTTGCTTGGCATATGTCGAGGCAGTTGCCAGGATCTTCTCACCACCACCTTAGCTACACACACCTTCTTGCATCAAGAGTTAAGTGCTTTTTATTTAGTAACTTACATTCTCTACCACTGCCGCCTTGCTTGTCTGAGTGACCACTATAAGACTGAATCCATCCATGTCCTAAGCTAGTCTCAGCTTGGCCACTGCAAAGCTCTGGACATGACCAACCTAATACCTGCTCTGGGGACACCTGAGACGATGGAGTCACACGACCGGCCACCCAGAGAGACTGCTCTTCGCACCGGAGGTGGTGCCTGTAAGAAGGGGCTGCCATCTTGGATCCCAGAGGCTAACCTTGGGACCCCCACCATGGCTCACAAACCATCTCTGGGCAAGCCCATGGCTGCAGCATCCAAACCATGCAGAGTTCCTCTGAGCACTCATCATGACTGATTTCTCTAGATCCTGATCTAAGAGTTCGAATCCTGGCTCTTGCCCTTTGTAGTCACATGGTCTTGAGCAAGTCACTTCGCCTCTTGGAACCATCACCTTCTCCATCTATAAAAGAGGGATAATGATAGAATCAGCTTCATATTGTTATAAGCATTAGCACAGTGCCTGGTGTGTATCAGGTGCCCACGAAGTCTGGAAACATCGTGATTTGTAATGTGATCGTTCATACCAGCAGACCGTCGGGTATGTGCTCATCTACACGTCCAGGCTTGGCAGCCAGCCGCTAGTATAAAGACCTGCAAGCAGGGAGTGATGATTACAGCGGCTTCGTCAGGGCTGCTGGGAGACATGGCTATTTCTGTCTCACAGGAGCCCTTCAGACTCGGACCCCCAGGAGCCCACCTACTACAATGTTCCAGGCTGGATGGAGCTGCAACCGGTGTACAGCAATGGTGAGGACCAAGGGCCCCCCACTAGGGCAGGGACCCCAGGGTTGGTCCAGGCAGGGGTGGGGCAGGAGAGCTCTGGCTGGGGGAAGTAGGTCGGATAAGAGGCAAGGACCTTATAGCTCTCTCAAACTGCCCCTTCTTTCCAAGTCAACCCTAAAGAAGGAGATGTGGTGTACTCAGAAGTGCGGACGATTCAGGAGGGGAACAGACATGCAGGTAAGACCCGTGGACTCTTGACTTCGAAGGCACCAGCTGCACACAGCTCGGCCTCCACCCCTTCTGCAGGTCTGGGCCGACTGGACACAGAGCCGCCCTCACGCAGGGTCGCTGGTTTTCTTCACTTGCGCCCACCTGCCCTGCTGGGCTCCCCGGCCCCACCGTGCCACATCCCCCACCGACGGCCTCGGGAGAGCCTGGGGGACACCTGCTCTGTCCAGGCTTTGGCATTCCCCGATGTCAAGAGACATGGGCTGGCATTCCTCTTCTCCCTCCATCAGCTTTCTATTGCTGCTGTGACGCATGTCACCGACGTGTGATCTTACAGTGCTGGAGGTCAGAGGCCAGACACAGGTCTCCCCGGGCTGCGCTCCTTTCTGGAGGCTCCAGGGGAAAAAGTACTTTCTTGCCCTTTCTGGCTTCTCAAGGACACCCCTCCACACGGCTCACGGCCCCTTCCTCCATCTTCAAAGCGGACAGTGCTGTGCTGCATCCCTCTGATCATTCGTCCAAAGCCGGGTCTCCCTCTGAGCACAGCTGGGAAAGTTCTCTGATTTAAAGTTCTCCCTAAAATCTCACCTGGATAATCCAGGATAATCTCCCACTGCAAGGTGCTTAATCTGAATCACATCTGCGAAGTCCCTTCTTGCAAGGTCACACACTCACAGGCTCCAGGGATTGGGACACAGACATCTCGGGGGCATGACTCTTCCTCCCACTCTAACCCACAGGGTTGAGAAAGCAGATGTGGGGATGCCGTCCCAGCAGCTTGAGGATGACTCACTGCTGCTGGCTGGCTCTGCCCGTCCTCTCCGGTGGGTGCTCAGCCATGGCCGGCCCCAGCCCGGCTCCCTCCTGCACAAGGGAGACCTGCCTCTGGGGCAGACTCCCTTTCACCTGTGCTCTGTAAGGAGCGCTGTGTGATTTTACCCATTCTGCTTCCCTCTCTGGTTTTCCGATCCTCTTGTATAAAGTCAAACGAACTGTGTTTGTGCCCATGCTTGGTTCAATGGCTCACCTGTCACACACAGGAACTTGCTCATACTCACAACTTCCTTTGAGGTGAGTATTGTTATTATCTCAATCTTATAAATGAGGGAACTAAGGCCGAGGACCTTAAGTGAGACCGGCCGGAAGTCACAAAGCCTAGACGGTCCCTCCAAGCCAACAGGAGAGAGCCGCCCGCCGGATGTCACATTCCACGTTCCAGATTTAGGATAGTATATAAAAGTAATAACAACACCTAACGTCCCACCAACATGTGTTGAGATCCTGTGTGCCAAGTACAGTTCCAGGTGCTATAAATAAATACGCTATGTGCGCTTATATATTTAATGCTTGTTTATGTGTTTATTCATAGCAGTCAGGACCGTACCTGGCACACGTGATGGACACTGGAAAATACACACACACGCACGCACACACACAAACTCATATCAATTTACAGTAACCCCAGAGGGGGATGATGTTATTACTCCCACCATATGGAGGAGACCACCAGGGCAGGAGAGGTGGCCGTGACCTGCCTGAGGCCACACAGGTGACCCGGCCGGGCTCTCCGCAGTGCATGCAAGGAGTCTGAGCTCAAAGCACTAACAAGAGAAGAGGTGGTCTCAGGGAGCCTGGGGAGCTGGGAGGGATGCTGAGGAGGGCTGGGCCCCACCGGAGGCCGGGGTCCTGGCCAGGGCCCTGGCGGTACAGGGAGGCTGCCGTCCGGGCGGGGAGAGGACCCGGGGTGGGACGGGGCCGGTGGGGACGTGGGGCCGGGCGAGAGCGCTGGGTCATCTTTGCCAGCTGAGTGCTGCTCTTCTTCCCACAGCGGCTCCAAACTCCACATTAAGGCTCCTCCAGACCCACCTGCCCTCCCACGGCCCGGCCGCCAGCCAGCAGCGGCTTTCCAGACCCCAGGGCTCCTCTGTCATCTACTCGCAGGTAAAGGTGGCACCACTCCCCGCCTCCGCGGCTCCTCGCAGCTGAGTCCACACACCGGCCCTGCACCCTAAGCCATCCTGGGGACAGGGACACGGAAGTGGGAAGATCTGAGTGGCTCCAGGCCCCGTCCTGTGGCCTCGGCCATCAGCGTGACCAGAGCACGGGACCTGCAGGACACTGCTGTTTCCCAAGTGACAGGCTGGAGCTTGTGGGTTTTTTGTCCAGTGACGTGTGTCTCCCGCCCAGGACCATCTTATCCCCTGGCTTCCTCAGCAGGCTTCAGCCACGGTCTCTTCTCTGAGTCCCACTCCCACATACACCCCAAACTCTACCCAGTGGGGCCTGCTCCTGGACATCTGTGGACATCTGTGCCCTGTGGACACCTGTCCTCCCCACAGACATCTGCCCCCGCCCCCCGTCAACACCCGTTCTCCCTGCGGACACCTGTCCTTCTCCCGATGGACACCTGCCCTCCCACGGACATGTGCCCCCCAGGGACACCTGTCCTCCCCACAGACACCTGTCCTCCCCCGATGGGCACCTGCCCCCCACGGTGGCTTTCCTCAATGGTCATCACCCTGGCAGGACTACTGCAGCACTCAGCCAGGTGGGACAGCATGTGGCCCTGGGAACAGGCACGGGCAGTCTGCGGACCTTCTCACCATGGGGCTGCACTCTGTGCCCCCATCTGCCTCAGACACTAAGGTCAGCCCCTGACACCAGGACAGCTTCTCCCCTGCATACGGGCTGATACCCCTGCCCGAGTCGGTGGGTTCACAGCCCCTTCCCATGCGCCCTCCTGTGCGGGCACACAGATGTCCTCTCACCCGTCACCGGGAGGAGACACACATTCCAAGCATGGGCCGTTCTGACAGAGCCACCTCCGAATGTCATAAAGACAGAGAACGGGGGATGGAGGAGGTCTGACAGTCTAGTAGGGACCGTGATCGGATGCCAGATCAAGAAGAAGCCACGGGAGAAATTTTGGACACAGGGAAAAAAGAATATGAACTTTATAGTATTGATACTATTGAATCAATAATCTGATATTACTTTAAGAATATTTTTGAAAATATTTGAAATACCTTGAAGTGATTCAGTAAAAATGTTTAAATGTGTGTGTTTGTGTGTGTGTTAGTGCACATTTCTTTGAGTTTGTGTGTGTATTCGGCCCCTGAGCAGCCTCCTGGGAGCACCCCCAGGCAGTGAGGTTGGTCCCTCCACGCTCTGACATGGGTCAGAAGGGTGATTGCGTCAGGGGCCACTCTAGGCCACGCCACACCCGAAGCCAAAAGCCCCTCTCTGCCCTATTACCCTCCCCAGATTATGTCATCTGAACTGTCTGGCCGTCCTTCGGGGCCAGCGTGCCAACCACTGAGCACCGCAGATACTCCCGAGACAGTTAAGCTCTGTCGGGGAGGGAAAGGCTCTGGGGCCATAACCGTGGACTACTGGGGGGTGTAGGGAAAATGTAGGACTTGGGTGCACAACAGAAAAACCCCAAGCTGACCTCCACACAGCAGGTTAGAAGGCAGTCTGAACACAGGCAGGGGTCTCTGTGAAGACTGTGTGCAGAGAACAAGTCGCTTGGACGATACACCAGTTAGAACTCAAAGATCCTAACCTGGTCTTAGTCCCTGATGATGCAGTGGAGACTTCTGATCCCCCAGGAGCAGCAACAATAAACATAACAGCAACTAGGAAGCCCCGGAGAAACCAGACAGTTGAGGGGGTCCTGCTTCGAACCTGACACAGGCTCAATGCGAGGTGGTGGTGGGCAGATGACCGAGTGGAAGGCAGACACCATCCCCCGCGGACCGTTGTCCTCCGAGCTCCCAAGGTTTCCCTACATAGCTTTTTATTTCCTCCCGCGGGGGCCTCATCCCGGTGCTTGCTTCTGCGCGGATAAGGTTCACAGCATCGTGATGCCTTCACGCTGTGTCAATGCATTTTCAGAATCAAACCAAAGCACGGGACACTTAACGACAGTTGCTTCGGTCTTTTTTTTTTTTTAAGAATTTTTTTAATTTATTCATTTGAGACAGAAAGATACAGAGCGAGACAGAGAGAGAGCAAGAGCAGGGGGGGCAGCAGAGGAAGAGGGAGAAGCAGACTCCTTGCTGAGCAGGGGACCTGGAGATCATGACCTGAGCTGGAGGCAGACGCTTAAACCAGCTGAGCCACCCAGGCACCCCCGCTTCGGTCTTTATGTACGATAAACACGCTAACCTGACAGAAATCGGAGGCAGGGAGCCCAGGCCCATCTACGTGCACTATTTCCTCATTTCCTATAGTCGAGAACCAGCAGATTTTGTCTTGAGATGATACAACGAGAAAGAGATTCAAGTCACTCTTTTTAAGCATAAATCGAACCCTGGAAAAACCTTGTAATTTTACAAGTCAAAGCCAGGAAGTAGAGGGGCAGGAAGAAAGGAAGGTCATAAAAGACTAAATTCTCTTCCCTACAGTGGAGTTAATAGACACTCTCTAAAGTTGATAAATCCAGAATTTGCATATGGTATCGTGACATTTATATCTGTGAGCCAATAACCAGATGACTAAAAACAGAAATTGTTAATTGCAGCGGCAAACCTCAAGTAAAAGGAGGAGAAACTTCCCTTTCGTTGTCCGCTCTGATCTACCGTTTGAATTTTTAAGCACAAGCATGTGTCCTTTGCAGGAGAACGTGTCTCTGTGGAGGGGTATCAGAGGGATTGTTGCTGCACAGTGAAAACTCAAGGTAAAGCTGACCACTAGTGACCACTGGAGGCCACTGGGTCCCCGGGCTGGCGCCAGGCCTGGGCGAAGAGTAGCCAGGAACAAGCTGGGGGAGCTGCCTCCTGTCTCCTGGGGGCCACCCTGCTGGAGACTGGTGGCCTTGCCAGGTGCCAGCAGCAGGAGAAGCATCCTGCTCCCGGACACGGCAGCCCCAGGCTGCACAGGGGTTAGTGCCCTGCCTGGAGCACCCTGCCGTGTGGCGTCACCTCGGGAGAAAACGCGCTGATGGACAGGTGCTGCAGGAAGGCAGGGCGGGGCAGGCGGCGTGAGGAGGGGCAGAGACAGGAAAGCCCCGGAAGGCGGCGTGGGATGGGACAGAGGCCAGCGGGCGGAGAAGCCATCGCATCAGGCAAGAGGGTGGAGCCCAGACTCCTGAGATCTGCCCTGTGCCTCGTGCCCCAGGTCAGCTGCCTAACCCGAGGGCGGCTTAGTGCGCTCACCTGCAGGGTGGGGTAAGGACAGGACCTACCCCAAGCAGCTGTGGTGAAGACTAAGATTTAAACATTTAAAAAACTGTTTTCTCAGCTTGGTAGTCTCCCATAAAGCTACACCCACACTTACGGCAGCCAGCAAGCCCTCCCCCCATCTCTGACCCCAGGGAAGTGAAAACCACCATTTACACCAAAACCTGCGCATGAACGTTTTTAGCAGTTTGATGACAAGTCTCCAAAAACTGGAAACAACGCAAATATCCCCAAACTGGTAAACGGATCAATCAAATGGACAAATCCCATACAATGGAATCTCACTGGGCACTAAAGAGAAAGGCGGAGCTACTGGTCTCTGCGACCGCAGGGCTGAAGCTCACCTGCATCGCACTGCGTGAAAGAACCATCTTCAGAAACTACAGACTGCGCACATCCATTTTCATGATACCCCTACAAGGAGGAACCACAGGGACAGCTAGCCCGGCAGGGGCTGGAGCGCCGGGAGGGCTGGGCTGCAGGGCTCCCCACAAAAGGGACAGGGGGGTTCTTGGCGGCGATGGAATGTTCTGTCTTGACTGTGCTGCTGGTGGTTACATGAGCGTCTGTATTTGCCAAGACTCAGACCATGCACTAGAAAGAGTACATGTTTAAGTGGAAGGAGGCCTGTCTCTCGGGGAGCCTTTGTCCTTGTTGCGCCCCTGCCGGCTTCTCCTTCCCCAGAGCTTTACAGGGCTCAAGTTTCTGTCCAGAAGGCCCTTCCGGAGAGAGGCTAGCTCCGACCCCCAGCCCCACGCCCGGCGCCGCTCACTGGCCCTTCGCGCGGCTTCCAGGCTCTTCACGGTCTTATCGCTGTGGGACCTCCTGTCAGCGGCTCGTTTCCCCCATCCTCTCCTCCCGCTAAGGCGCGGAGACCCCACAGCCCCCTTGGGTAATGCGTAGACAGTGCCCAGCAGGGTCTCGTTAAGTATGTTGTGAACGATGAAGGAATGATGCTTAGAGCCGAGCTGGGCGCGTGGACAGTAGTCCTTACGCGGTAGCTCTACCACCATCATGTCTGGTGGTCACTCGTAGTGCTGGTGGCGATGCCAGGCCATGCGTCACCTTTATTAAAACGACACACGGCCCGGCGGTAATGTAAGTAGGTCTCTCTTCTCTTGCAGCGGAAGGACCGCACACATCGCAAAGGCTCAGCCAAAGCCAGGTCAAGTTGTTCGAGTGTCCAGGCCCAGAAGAGTTGCTAGGAAGCCCCGGGAGGGACGGGGCGGGAGCGGGGGAGGCCAGCATGCTGCTGCGGCCAACCCCCTGCGATGGGGGGGCCTGTCCTGGCCTCCGGGAGCTCAGCCTGGCCGCGGGGACGGGGCTGCGGGGGACTGGGAGAGGGGGGTCTCGTGATTGTTTGCTATCCCGCCTGGCAGCAGACCAGAACCCCACACTTCTTTCCGTCCAGGCTCCGCTTCCGTGCACGCCCCGCCCCGCACGCACGGGGGACACTTTCAGTGTCCAGACCCCGCCCCGCACGCATCGGGGATGCCTTCAGTGTCCAGCCCCCGCCCCGCACGCATCGGGGATGCCTTCAGTGTCCAGCCCCCGCCCCGCACACATCGGGGACGCCTTCAGTGTCCAGCCCCTGCCCCGCACGTATCGGGATGTCTTCAGTGACAGATAAGAGCTCTAGTCCCAGAAGGTTGACAGCCTGCACTTGAGGCAGCTTTGGTCCCAGGCTGGGGGTGTCTGTGATGGGAGACGGACGGTGGGATCCAGCACTCCGACTCAGCCCCAGGATGCCCCGTGCACCTGCGTGGACACACCGAGACTTTAGCCCGAAACAGGTAATACTCCGGGGGTCTATTTGTTTACATTTTTTTCTGGTTTATTGCCTGTGGTTAAGGTTAAGATCAACTGGTTAAATAAAGTCGTATGTTGAGAAATACAGGGGAGCTAAATGGCTGTGACTCCGGAGGCCCAGGTGAAGGCCCCGCCAACTCCGCCAGGTATTTTGGGATGAAGCCAGAGCCCCTGTCCCCACAGCGTGCGTGTAGTTTAAGCCCCCGGCCTGCTGGCAGCCGTATGGTTATCTTCACCTGTCAACTAAGCAAGGCGCGGGCAGCTGGTAAAACAGTATTCCCAGGTGTGTCTGTGAGGGCGTTTCCAGAAGAAATTAGCGCTTGGATTGGGAGACTGTAAAAATCACCCTTACCACTGCAGGTGGCTTCAGCCAAATGGGTTGAGGCCCCAGTAGAGCCAATAGAACAAAATGGTGGAGGGAAGGCAGATCCACACGCCGCTTGAGCAGCGCATCTGTCTTCTCCCAGGGGGCCGCAGCGCCCAGCTTCTTGGGTCCTCGGGCTGAGACTGGGACTCCCCTGCTGGCTTCCGCGGCCCCAGTCCCACCCACAGGGGCTCCTCAGTCGCCGTGTCCAGTGAGCCCACCCTCACCACGTCTCTTCCCCTCTGTCCCTTCCTCTCTGTCCATGGGTCTGTCTGGCCTGTTGGTTCTGTTCCTCCCGAGAACCCCGGCTGACACAGCAGCCCCAGGGTGACCAAGACCGCTTGTCACCAGGGAAGTTCTTGCTATTGAGATTTAAAGAAAAAGTCTCAAGGCCAAAATCTTTTGTTGCTGTTTGCGTTTGGGTTGCTCCCACCAAACTCCTCCCCGCTCTGAGGGAAGAGAAGACCCCCCCCCCCCATCCAATGAAGCTTGCTAACTGGTTTTCACAGAAGACACATTAAAACCTTGATGTTTCAATAGTTTAAAGGATGAAATGTTTAGGTACATTATTCAGGTCATAAGAAGACAATTAGGTAAATGCTAAAGCTGATTTGGAACGTTACTCTGGTGGACGCA